GCCCACCTGGCTACCCATCCGGCTACCCAACCACACACACACCCTTCCCTCCCCCTCCCTGTCCGTGTCCCCACCCAGACAGACAGACGTCTGTCGGTCTGTCTGCAGAGGAAGGAAGCATGCAAGCAAACCAAACTCCCAGAGAGACAAGTGAGGTAGTGAGTAGTTAGAATGAATGCCATCAATCAATCGCAGCAGCACCGACCGATCTCACAAAAAGGCTGGCAGCAGCGGACGGACGGACGACGCAAACGCAACGCAACGCAAGGCAACACAACACAATGCAAGGCCAGGCAAGAAGCGGTAGGGTAGGTAGAATAGCCAGGAGGACGACAGGAGAGAGAGGAGAGGGGAGGGAAACGACCAAGCATCCGACTCACTCACTGACTGACACGCTCCCTCCCTCCCTCCCAGGCAGGCAGGTAGTCAGTCTGTTAACTTCCTGAGGCTCTCCCTCCTTCTTTACACGCACGCACAGATGCGCAGACAGACCCATTCATTGATGCAATCACTGACTGCATATATGTCACCCCACCCTTCGACCTCCCCTCCCCTCCCCGCACCCAACCCACCCCCACCCCCTCCCGCTCCACAGCCACTCAATCACTCCCCCTCGTCCTTCCTGGTGCCATCGGCTTGCGGACTCCTCACACATTTCGACTCGCTCGTCGAATGAGAATGAGACCCATTGCTGGTCACCCCACCCCCATTGTTGCCGCTTCCGCCGCCATGGCTGCTGTGGCTGTCGCCGTGGTGGGGATCCACCCGACAGGCCCCCAGAGGGACCGCACCAGCGCCCCTCAGAAGGATAGCTGCAGCGGGCGCCACCACACCATTTCCACCGCTCACAGATGAGCTGCTGGGAGGGGCGCTGGGCGGGGCGGGGAGGGTCCGATGGGTCTTGTCGATCGTGCCGGACGATGAGGAGGAGGAGCAGGAAGCCGCGGCGGGGGGAGGTGTCACCACCACAGGCGTCGACATGCGGGCTGCGATGCTGGCGTTGTGGTAGTCGCTAGCCGACATTCCCATTGTCACAGTGCTCCGGCCAGGGAACGACCGCCGTTGAGGCTGGATGACACTGGCGGCGGAGCTGGTGCTGCTGGTGCTGCTGGTGCTGGTGGGCCCCTTTGCCGGCGAGACGACAGCCATCCTGTCAATGGTGGGCCCTCCTCCACCTTCGGGCTGTGTGTCGTGGCCGAGGCCCTCTTGGTGCCCGTTGAAGCGAGGCCGGTGCTGACTCCACTCGTCACAGGCAGACGCACCAGCAGCAGCAGCAGCAGCAGGGAGCGGCTCGGTGGCCTCGGGCCTGGCGGGTGATGGTGAGGAGAGAGAGAGGGAGTGGAAGGGCTGGTGGTCGTCAGGCAGTGCCTCCTCGTCTCTGTCGTCGGCAGCTGATGCGATGGGCACCTCGGTGACCTCCGAGGTGTTGTCGAGCTCCTCCTCGTCCTCTCCCATACCGATGATGATGTGCTGGTCATCGGCCGCCATGTCGAGCTGCAGCGGCGGCACTGGCCGGGCCCCGCCACGATCACCGCGGTCACGGTGGGCGTCGACCGACCGTCGCTGCTGCTGCTGGTGGTGCTGGTGGTGGAAGTGTTGGGCGTCGAACGGGTGACGCTCCTCCTGGTCCTGATCCCTGTCGTAGTCATGCTCGCCAGAGTGGTGGTCCTGGTCATGGCCAGCAGCCGTAGGGGGCGCGTAGAGCGGGTGCTGGGGGAGATGGAGAGAGGCCTGCGAGCGCTCCATCGCCACGTCAGACGTGTGTGCCCGGCCGTTGGGGTAGGCTGGCTCGGCGGCCGGGGGGAATGACACAGAGACGGACACCGCTGCGGCCTTGACGCTGCTGCTGTCATCGGTGGTGTGCGACGGCTCGGTGTCCTGTGGTGCGTCAGTGTGTCCGCCATCGAGGGAGATGAGACTCATTGCGATGGATGAGGGGTCGAGGGCGGCCGACGATGAGGGGCCCAGGTGGGGCGACGAGTGGGGCGGGACGGAATTAGACACCGACAGAAACGGGGCTGGCCGAGTACGCCGACCATCGCCAGACGCTGCCGATAAAGAATAGAGAGAGAAGCAGAGCAGGCGATGCCGCATCCATCCCGTGCCGACGTCAGCCAGCTTCCCTTCCCTCACTCACCGTATTGTGCGTGTTGGTCATCTTCATCGTCATCCTCGTCCTGGTCGTGTTGGTCCCCGTCGTCGGTCCACCTGGCCGACCGGCCGGGCGGCAGACCTTCACCGTCGGGCGGCCCCTGGGGCACCTCACGGATGTGCGGCAAAACACCGTTGGAGTGCAGGTGCGCGACCATGGCCGCAAACTCCTCGCGGTTGCTGAAGGCTGCACATCACACACACACGAGAGAGACACGCGAGACACAGAGGCCGCAATGAGTGGAGCGAATGGGAGGGAGTGGGTGGCTGTGTCCTGTCCAAGTGCAATGCAATCAAGCTCACTCACCGTATCGCCCCTGGCGCAGCTCGGCCATCTCCACGTCCCTTGGCATCTGAGAGAGAGGGAGGGAGGGAAACAAGGACCGAAACACATACATACGACAACACAAGAAACCACAACACAACACAAATAGATTCTCTGCCGGCGTCAAGTGGAGGAGAGCCCCTCGATTGCCCCACACTGTACCCACACGCCCACCCACGTACCTCAGCATGCATGGCGGCCTCGTGCTCCCGCGCCATGGACCGTGCGGCCGCCATCCGTCTTAGCGCCTCGTCGTCCTCCTCGCCCTCGTCCTGCCCATGGTCCTCATGCCCCTCGTAGGCATCCTCAGCATATCGCTCCGAGCGGGGAGGCAGCGGCACGTCGTGGATCTCATCCTCGCTGGTGGGGGGCCCTCCCGACGGCCGGGGAATGGGCTGCTGGGGCGAACGCAGGTGGGGGGGCACAACACCCACTGACACCGACGACGGGGAGCCGGGGGAGGGGTTGGCAGAGGCGGCCGCCACGGCCACTGAAGCACTGGCCGCTGCGGCAGCTGCCACTGCTGCTGCTGCTACAGCTGAAGATGACGGCTGGTGGGCCGAAGACGCCTCCTCGAGACTGTGACGGGACCGATTGTTCAACCTGAGTATTGATTGCATGCCATGCGAGCAACAGACACACAGACGGATGTGAGTGATCCAGTCAGTCATTCCTCGTATCCCTTCCCTCGACTGTCTGTTTATCAGCCGTTAGTACCCTCTGCGAAGGTCGCGGTGTGTGGCGCTGGGCGGCTCGTCTGGCGGGTGTGCTGCAGGGTGGGGGATGGAGCGGCCGGCCGTGGCGGGATGGGACGCCAGGGCTCCCTGCTGCGAGTGATACGTCATCGCCAGATGATTCAAAATCTCCGCAGTCTGTAGGGTAGTACACACACACGCACAAGAGAGGCTCCCTCATGGTATGTGTGCCTCTCTCCTCGTCTATCTATCTGTTGCTGCCCTGCTCTGCTCTGCCGCGCCGTGTGTGAGGTAAGCTGACCTCAGGTTTGAGCGCGTCCATGTGCAGCTGGAAGTGTGTGGGGTCCATGGCGATGGCCTGCAGGAACTGCGCCTGCGCCTGGGTCTCCCTCGCCTGCAAAGTCGCCTCGCGCTGAGAGGCCCGAAACGCCTCACGCTCCAGCACCTCCCGCTCCTCAAACGCCGCTAACAACTCACGCACCTTCGACGGCAACGCAGGCACCTCACCATCGCCACCGCCCAGACCAACACCACGCAAGCCGAGAGGGAAACCCCCGATGCCAATCGGGCCGACCTCTCCAGCAGCACCAGCCGCCGCCGCAGCAGCAGCTTGTGGTGGTCCACCGGTGTTGGGCTCGGCGCCCAGGTAGGCTGCGTGGAAGGGTGTGTGTTGTGTCCCAGGGTGTGCGAGGGCCGATGCGATATGTCCGCTGATGGACCCGACGGGGCATCCGAGGCCGTCGTGGCTGTCGGCGATCTGCAACAGCTGACGAAGCACCTCGTTCTCCGTACGCAGCTTCTCTACCTCCTCCTGCACACACCACACACATCCGTGAAAGCAAGACAGACAAGCCTGGTGCGTGGCCGTGCCCCCCATCTAGCCCCCAGCCCCCAGCCCACTGACTGAGCCACAGACAGACGTCCGTACCTCCAGTTCTCGTGTGTCGTTTTCGAATGCGGCCTCCTTGAATGCCTTTTGGATGCGCTCCCTCTCCTCGCGCTGCTCTGCCGCTTCACGCTTGACCGCCTCGGCCAGCTCCTGCGCAAGTGAAGTGACAGACAATCAGCAGAGAGCAGAGCAGAGCAGAGAGGGAGACCTTGGTCGTTGGTTGCGTCAGTCAGGTGTGTTGCAATGCCTGGGGTCCACTCCACTCACTCACCTGTTCCTTTTTGATGCGCGCCTTGGCTACGTGCAGCTGCTGCGCTGTCACATTGCGCTGGTGGTTGGCGACCTGAACACACAGCACAGGCAGACAGGAAGGGAAGGGCACAGGCTGTGGGTCAGTAACTTGCGCCGCGCGCAGACAGTTACTATGGCTGGCTGGCTGCGTTTGTTTATGATAAATATACCTACCTTGGCTTGTTCCAGCTCTTTGAACATGCCCTTCAAAACTGCGCGGTAGACCCTATTGTTGGCCTGCAGCATGGCGTTGTCGGCAGACATCAACTGAAAACACACGCACACACACACACAGAGGACACGCACCATGAGGAGAGGCAACATACATGGCATGGTGTTCCACTCACTGCCTCCCTGCCTGTTTGTCTGACCATGAGCATTTTGACGGCCTCTTTGATGCCGTTCCGGAGCTCCCTGACCTCCTTGTCCCACAGGTAGCTGTAGGCCGCGTCCATCTCCACATACCTCGTCCGACGAACACCGCTGCCCCTCCCACCCCCGCCACCAACACTCGACGACCCCTCCCCCCTCCTCTGGGGGCCTGATGAGCCACCGTCAGACGCCTCATCGGTGAGGTGCTGGTGGCTGCCCTCTCCATCGCCTCCCTGTGTGTCGTCGTGGCCCTTGGCGTCATCAGAGGGATGGTGTGCGGGCGGCGGGAGGGGCTGCGGACGGCAGCCGCTCGACGACGTGGTGGCCCGGCTGTCGGCACCGCCTGAGGCGACCGTTTCCACTGGGGACGATGCAGCCTTGGCCGAACCTGATGAGGGAGAGTCGCCATCCTGACACAAGGACACACACGATACGACACGGGCACACCGACGGATGGGATGCACTCATCTGGTCCCTTCCTTTGAGACACACATGGTGTGTGTGTGCTCTCTGCAAGTGCGATCGTACCCCCGATGAGGGTGCCCTGTCGGTCTCCCGCCCGGCCTGGTCCCTGCCCTCCTCGTTGGGCGACTCCTCGTGCTCCCAGCGAGACACAGGGAGCACCGCGCCACGCCCGACGGCAGGAGCGGCCGAGTCGATGAAGCTATTTACAGCAGGTTGATCTCCAGCGGGAATTTCACCTTGCACAGGATCGGCCTGGTGGGCTCCTCCACCGCTGCTATCCCCTCCGTCAGCCGGTGCATGAGGCGGCCTCTCCGCCTCACCCGCCTCTGGCGACGAGTGAGTTGGGCTCGACGCTGCTGCTGCGGCATCAGAAGCTCCGGAGGCGTCTGCGATGGGATGCAAGTCGTCGCCCGGCGCATCTGACATGCTCCTCCTCCTACTCCTCTATTGTGAAGCCTCTCGCCTCGACTCGCCTCACTCACGCCTCGACCCGCCGCACAGCAGCAAACCGCGCATCCTAGACTGCATCAAGCTGTTGCTGTGCTACAAACTGCCATAACGAGCCTCCACCGCCGACTGCAAGCTCACAAGCTCTCGGTGATCGGCAAGGAAAAACAGAAAAACCAGCCTTTTGACGCAGGAGATCAGCAGTGGCTGCATCCCTGTGTCCATCTCGTTTTGCGTCGCCAATCTCGTGTTGCTATCCTGTTTGGATCTTGCCTTGGTTGGTCGGCGGTGGCTGGCGAGTCTGCAGCGGCGGTAGTGGCCAGGCGTGGCGGGCGTGGAGGCGTGTGTCTCTACCGGTGGCGTGAGGGGTGGCATCTGGGTGAGTATGAGTAGCATGCTGATCCGCCTGCTGTCTCGAAGTACTGTCACTCGGCCGCTGACGACAGAATGAGGATTGAATATAACCAGAATGCGCTGCATGCCCTGGCGGCGGCGTCGCTCTCGGAGCCTCAGCGCGTCGTCATCGAGACCTTGGTCACATCCCCACTCGACCAGCTGGCAAACCACCTCGAGGGCTTCCAGTGGTGCTTCGAGAAGGTCCGTTGCCTGCGTGTGTGGCCGTGGTCTGACTGACAGATACATTCCTCCACACCTCTCGTCTGAGTAACTGGTGTGTTGTCTTGTGTGTGCGTGTGTGTCAGGGCAACCTCGAGCACTGGGCGTGTGTCATCAATCGGTTCGACAGCTGCCTGAGGGCGTTTGTGCGCAGGAACAATCTGTGGACGCCAGGTGGGCCGTGTGGGCAGGGAGACGAAGGAGGTGCAGGTGCGGGGGGGTGAGGTGTGTCTCCGTGTGTGTGGCGTGCAGCGTCTTCTCTCTACGATGGCGAGCCTGATGTGGACGGTGAGGTCACCGAGGCGCTGGCGCACCAGATACTCAAGGCCACTCACATCATACTCGAAAACTGCACCAACAAGGTCAGCCGGCCGGCCAGCCAGCCACCAGACACACACGGACACATCCCTCTCGCCACACACCTCTCTCTCTCTCTCTCTGTCTGTCTGTCTGGTGTGCTGTGTTGTGTTGCAGCATCACTTCAACTCGCTCGAGTACGCCACGGCGGTGCTGGACAGCTTCAACTTGGATGTGGTCTACGCCGCACTGCGGCTGCTCACCAGCTACTACTACTCCATCAAACGGTACACACACACACACACACACACACATGGCCACAGTGTGTGTGTGGATTGGTTGACCACATGTGTGTGTGTCGTGGTGCATGCACTGCAGTAGCAGGAAGTCCTCGACCGACGCGCTGTGTCACGACGAGCTGTTCCACCGGCTGACGGTCCTGTGCGAGAGTCCTCTGGGCGACGTGTACTTCCCCTCCTCACCCGCACCGTCGCTCACCTCGGCTTCGACGGCCGTCAAGTCGGACGCCGACGACATGGAGCGGACAGACATGAGATCGCTGTGCACACCGGGAGCACCAGTGGTCAGCCAGACAGCACATGTAGCCACAAAGACAGACAGACAGACAGCCTCACAGACAGCTGCACACCTCACTCGACGCGACGTGTGCAGCCTGCCATGAGTGGCGGTTTCTTTGAGGTCGAGGCCTACATCCACAAGGGCCACAATGCCCGAGGGCCGCGGCCTGGTCCTGGTCCTGGTGCGGCTGGGCCAGCGCCGGCCTGTGGTGGTGCGGCAGCTTCGTCGGCAGGGGCGGTGGGTGGCGGAGGGAGTGGTGCTGTCGGCGGCGGTGCTCGTCTGATTCGGACCGAGTCGATCCGCATTCCGGTGAGCGAGCTCAAGAGCTCGTCGGGCGACAGGCTCCATGAGGAGGAGAGCGACCTCAGGCGGCTGGTCGACACGTACGACATCGCACCCAACCAGATACCGGTCAGCCACCGGGCGAGGCGACACACACACGGCAGGACACCAGACAGACACATGACGGAGACACACGGGAATGTGTCTGTGTGTGTCGGTTGGTGCTGTTTGTGTGTGACAGACGCTGCGTCACAAGATCCGGATAGTGCGTGCGATGGAGGCGGATCACATGCGGCAGAAACTTGTCGCCATCAGACTCGCGGCGGTGAGTGAGTCAATCAGTGCACTGAGCGACAGCACACACACTCACATTGACAGGCAGGCAGGCAGGCAATGCCCCCAAGGAGTCAATGAGTGTTGCTTGGTTCATCCCTGTGTGTGTGTGTGTGTGTGATTGCTCGGTTGGCTTCATTCATTCGTTCATTCAGATGAATTGTTTCGTGAGTTTCAGTCCGAATGCGTTCTTCGGCTACCTCTATGGCAACCCATCGCTGCTCGTCGAGGTCACCGACCTTCTCCGCCAATCCTCTATCCTTCACATGCAAGACGTCGCCGTAAGTTGGCACACTCACACACACACATGGGCACAGAGAGAGAGCAGCCCCTCCCACTGATTGGTTTGTTGTTTGACTGACGTTGGTGGGGTCGGTGGCTGCAGGTTGTGGCGTTGAATCTGATAAGTGTGCTGCTGCAGGACAAGCAGAACTATCGCACCGTCCTCTCACTCATGGGCATCGCCAGCCCCTACGGCCTATTCCCCTCACTCCTGCGGCGCATCCTCCGACATCCGTACGTGGCAGAGCCCCTATTCCCCCCTCTAGATCCCGTCGCAGAGGACGGCGACCAGCCGGGCCCCTCCTCACCCCTAGCCGCCCCCCCACAGCCATCCCCGGCCATCCCAATGTCAGACGACGACCAAGGAGCGGCCCATGGGGGGCTGTCTCTGCGGCCTTACAGTAGTAGTGAAGACGGTGCGCATTACCTGGTGATCCAGGCGGCGCTGCAGCTCTACTCGAGCGTGCTGCAGACATCGCAGACGGTGCAGGGCTCCATGTCGACGGGCGTCCTCTGCGCCGTGCTCGACTTCCTACGCTCACGAGACCTCCACCACATCTCACCGATGCTCTACGCCACTCGGTGAGCCACCCCTCCCCCCACCCCACAGAGGCTGTGTGGACATCGTCCGTCTGTTTGTGTGTGTGGTGTGTCATTCAGGTTGCTTGAGCATTGCATGCAGTACTCCGTGCAGGCGTCGACTCTGCTCATGCGCGAGTGCAGCGCCAACGAACGGTACACACACACACACACCCAACACACACACCCCATCATGAGTCATGAGGATGTTTGTTTTGTCCGGTATGGTGTGGTGTGCATCAGTCTGATTGAGCGCATCCGGTGGGAGGTGGCACGTGTGAAGGAGCTGGTGGACTCACCGCAGGCCAGCGACGCCATCCTGCACCAGACAAACGCCACACCGGCAGACAAAGCCGCATACTGGCAGGTACGTTATGTGGGCGATGGATGGAAACTCGCGCGCGGCTTGGTCTCCTGGTCTATCTATCGGTCGGTGTTGCGTGACCGTGTGGCTGGCTGGTTGCAGGGCAAGCTGCTGCATCTGAATCGGTGCAGTTTGCTCAAGGCGCTGATGCGGACCCTGAAGACGCTGCTCGAGGTGGGGGAGGGCAACCCTGCCGCAGTGGGCGGCCTGCAGTCGCTGCTTGAGGGCCCCTTCCTGCCGACCGTCAAGGACGTCTTCACCTGCGGCGAGAAGATGAGCCTCGGCAGTGTCGGCGGCGCTATGCAGCTTCTGGGGTTCGTTATCGGGGAGGACCCCACAGCCATTCCCTCACTCATCGAAAAGGCAAACACAGACAGACAGACAATGGCAGGGCAGTGTGTGTAATATGTGTATTTGTGTGAACATTCAGGGTTTGCTGTCGACGTTGCTGGACAGCATCAACGAGAGGACGCTGTGCTCTGATGAGGTCCTGGGTGCCTACCCCACCATCCTGGCCTCCATCTTCCTCCACAACTCGGGCGAGCAGGCCATGGCGCAGCGGGAGTACAAGCCGGTGGGCTTCACCATCGACCAGATCAGCAACAAAGACCTCACCCTGCACTTCCAAACCAACGAAATCGCTTCCATGGTCAGCCCAGCCGCTGACACTCCCCTTACCGTCTGGAGCATTGCACTCATTCTCTCCCCCGTGTGTGTGTTGGGTCATGTCAGCTGGGAGCGTCTCTCGAGGAGATCACCCGCAACCAGCCCAACTCCCGCCGCCCCATCGTCAACTTCTGTGTGGCGCTGCTGCGCAAGATGAAGGAGGACGCCATGAAGCTGCCCCTGTGGAAGCCTTTCAACGCCGAGGCCGCCCGGGCATCCCCGCCGCCCAAGCCCACTGAGCTGGCCTACATAACCAACCCGCCGCTGCCACCCGACGACTACCTCCCCGATCGCCTGCATAACCTGGGCCGGCTGCTCCAAGCCTTCCTCTCCTCGACGGAAAACGCCAAGGTGGGCGGGGCGCGGCGTGCGCACATTCACAGAACACTTTGAGGAAAAGGGCCGGCCATTTGACGACATTACATCGGTGTGGTTGGTGTGGTTCAGTTGTTTGTTGAGAGCAGTGGTCTTCCCCTGCTGATGGAGCTGTGTTCTTTGCCGGCGCTGCCGTCCAACTTCCTGCAAGTGACCAACGGGCACTCACTGCCGCAAATCTTCAGGTCGTTGTACCCATCCAATCACACACCAAACCGCTTCACACACACATCGATGCACTCACACATAAATGCTATTCTGCTCTCTGTGTGTGTGTGTGTGTGTTCAGTGTGGGCAGCACGGCGATGCGGATCAGCGGCCAGGCGTGGGCGGCCATCCTGCACCCCCAGCTCCTCTCTGGCGCCAAGCGGGCTGTCAGCGACATTACAGACACACTCAAGGCGGACCAGTGCGGCGATGAGCCCATCGAGTGGTCTGCGGACATGACGGACGACAGCACGGCGCTGTTCCGGCTGCTGCAGGGCATCGCCAAGGTGGACGCGCTGCTGTGGCAGGCCATGACCATCTATGGCGGCACCAGCCAGAGCTTCCAGACCAGCACACCCAACTCATGGGCTTACCTCGCCGCTATCGCTAAGGAAATCGTACCTGGTGGGTAGACAGACAGCTGTGTGTGTGGACAGACAGGACCACACCAGCAGAGCCCAGGCCCACTCAACTGTCTGTCTGTGTCTGTCGGTCTGTTGTGTGTGGTGGGTCAGTTGTGAAGCCGTTGATGCGCGAG